GGGCACTCATTTATAGAATAGCACAAATATAGAAATAAAACAAAAATCCTAAATCATGCCTACTAAAAACTTATTCAAATTCCTATCAACATATCACATGTAGTTGTTGTATTAGATACATGTATATTATAAGAACTTTATTATTTTCTATATTACAAAATTTACAATCTATATATTATACATTATTCTATTTCAAATTAGTTGGGGCACCCATTAATAGAAAATCATAAATTAAAACAAAAATCCTAAATCATGCCTACTAAAAACTTATTCAAATTCCTATCAACATATCACATGTAGTTGTTATATTAGATACATGTATATTATAAGAACTTTATTATTTTCTATATTACAATCTATACTAATTTACAATCTATATTTTTATACATAGACGGATTTTCTGGGGGTTTGAAACTTTACATTGATGTTGTTTTTACAGTTGTTGAAAACTTATAGCGTCTGTACTGTTACACCTTGTAACAGGGATGGATTTACTGGGGGTGTGCACCGCCATAGGGGTGCTATTTTTCATGATAAGCAAAAAATATTACAGGCAAAATGAGATACAGTACAGTAATTTGAGTACTAACATGATGATAAGCAAACTGTGAACAACAATTACAATTCAAATACAGTATGTTGATGGGCGGGCGGTGCACATGACCGACACAACTTGGCACCAGAGCTGGCATAGCCCCCCCCCCTACCAGATCATGCTGGATCCATCCCTGACTTGTAACAAGCCTGTTGAGCTCAACAACTTTGTAGCAAGTTGTCACCAAGCCGTTGATAACTTGTCAACAAACTGGGAACAAGCAATGCGAACACATCCTGTTGACAAGTTGTTGGAACTTGTGCGTAACAGTGCGTTTTTACGTGTGTAGCAGAGACATTTCATACCGTCCACTTCATCTTCAAGTACTCCATCTTTCTCGTCCTCACTATCGTCATCTTCAGTCTTACATTGACCTGCTGCTTCAAGAGCGACTTTCTCTGTAATGCAAACAAAAATATAAGGTATTTGACTTCATCTGAAAACGCCACGAGAGCCGTTTAATATGAAAATCCCAATAAACCAAAAAAATATTTACCAGATTTTTTTGGACTTCATTTTCAGACTGAGCCTTCACGGTAAGGTCTTCATTTTCAGACTGATCCTTCTTACCATACTTCGCCGCTAGGATTATAGCAAACACACTGCCCCATATTCCTAGAATGATTACAATAATATATAAGTTACAATAATGTCATAGCTACCTCGAAATCCTTTGTTTCGCGAGGGACGATTAATGACTAATTTACCTCATTGCTAAAACATGAGGGACGATTAGAAACTAATCATCCCACGGGACGATTAGTTATTAATCGTCCCTCATCTTTATGGATATATTATACTGTATTGATGTTCAATTAAATATTTAACATACATGAAAAATCAACCGTAACCTCATTAACGAACATCCCAATAGTCAGAGCAAACGCGCCTTTTCATTTCAACTTATGCAATCGAATGAAACCGTTTTATTGTCTCAGTAGCTATGATATTGCAAAGTGATAGCATGGCATTACGGTCGATTCTCTCGGCTTTCGGGTACATTTAATGTAATCACTAATCGCCCTGAATGCCATGCTATCACTTATAATTATTAGTTAAATAAGTGGTGGAAAGAGATTATAAAGTAATAAATAACCGTGGCTTGATAGCGGTTTGGTATAATTGCAATTAAACTGCAGTTAAAAATCATGTCCGGATTTTGAGGAGGGGTGTGAGGAAGTACGCACCACCCCTGAGATTTTTTTGCAACTCCCCTGAAAAGTTATGCAATCTCCCTTGGAGACGGGGGTTAAGTGATAAGTAAGATTTTTTCTGTAAAATTCGACAATGTGTTGCTTAGGGTCTACACTTCGTAAAAACTCTTTTTCTGTAAAATTACCTTGCAAATAAGACAATGGAGGTTCTTCAAATTTCTTTACCAATTGTCCTTTATAAAATTTCCCACCAAATTCTTCGATCTTTCCAAACACACCATACTTGGCCATACCGTACTCAAATGGAGTGAACTCCACCCATTCTAAACAAAATACAAAGTATTTGATATTAAAATGCACTAAGGCCATGACCTTACTAGATCTCTAGGGAAAACAGTTTAGGATTGATAGAGCTATCCAGTATAAATAAAGTTAGTATAAGTTATTTGTATGTTTGCATGGCGATAAAACATATAATAGTTTTGTTTGTGGAAACACCACGTAAATTTATTACTGCAAAGCTTTCGATCCGTAAGCCCGGATCTTCATCAGTGCTAATAAATTTACGTGGTGTTTCCACAAACAAAACTATTATAAAGTTAGTATAGTTTAGGTTTCCTCCAGTAATAAAACTGGATCAATACGTGATGATCCTTACTAAACCTCCGGGGAGAACAGCTTAAAACTATCCAGTTTGAATAGAGTTAATTTAGTTTGGATTTTTTCCTGTCTGCACCTCTAGGGAGTACAGCTTAGAACTGTGACGGGGCTATCCAGTATTAATTAAGTTTAGTTAAGGTTTCCTAGTTTAGAGGAATGTTAAGAGACTGACTAGAGTCAGTTTGACTTACCATTAAATTCCTTTGCTGGTACGTCTAAACGTACTCGGATGCTTGTTGTGATTGGAAGAGGCGCTTCACCAAGACTCACGTTCTTGCTCTGGTCGCTTAGTTTGGATTCTTGATTCTAGCGAGAAAAAAACACTACATTACAGCTAATCGCAATTGACCGCGAGGCGTGCGTAAACTAAACAACATTTGTTCATTGTTTTAAACTTGATGTTTATTGGATGAAAGTTGACGTAACTTCGAACAGATAAAACAGTCT